CAAGCCTCATGTTCGCTTCAGCTGCGTGGCTGCCGGCCGCCATCTTGGTTGGCAGTTAATTTGCATATCGCCCTGATTAGCCGATGGGAAGCGTATCAGAGGTACAGTTAATTACCCTATTTGTCTTTTATTAGATAGAATTCCCTTAAACATTTCATGTAATACTGGTTTGTTGGTGATGAACTCCTTTAGCTTTTCCTTGATTGTGAAGCTATTTATCTAACCCTCAATTCTAAATGAGAGCTTTGCTGGGTAGAGTAATCTTGGTTGTAGCTCCTTGCTATTCATCACTTTTAATATTTCTTGCCACTCCCTTCTAGCCTGCAGTTTCTGTTGAGAAATCAGCTGATAGTCGTATGGGTGCTCCCTTGTAGGTAACTAACTGCTTTTCTCTTGCTGCTTTTAAGATTCTCACTTTCTTTAACTCTTGGCATTTTAATTATGATGTGTCTTGGTGTGGACCTCTTTGGGTTATTCTTGTTTGGGACTCTTTGTGATTCCTGGATTTGTAAGTCTATTTCTTTCACCAGGTAAGGGAAGTTTTTTGTCATTATTTCTTCAAATAGGTTTTCAATATCTTGCCTTATCTCTTCTTCTTCTGGCACCCCCATAATGTAAATGTTAGTACCCTTGAAGTTGTCCCAGAGGTTCCTTACACTATCTTCATATTTTTGGATTCTTTTTACTTTTTGCTCTTCTGATTGGGTGGTTTTTGCTTTCTCATACTCCAAATTGTTTATTTGATTCTTGGAATACTCTCCTCTACTGATGAATTTCTATAAGTTATTCTTTTTTTCAGTCAGTGTATGATTAATTTCTGCCTGGTCCTCTTTCAGGTCTTTGACATTCTCACTAAGATCCTTGAAAGTCTTGTGAAGATCCTTGAGTAAACTTTTAACCATAGTTTTGAATTTTGTATCCAGTAGTTTGCTTTCTTCCATTTCTTTTATTTGTGACATGTTTTTTTGTCTCCACATTTTGGCTCCTTCCCTGTGTTTGTTTCTATGTATTAGGAAGAGCTGCTATGTTTCCTGGAATTGGTAGAGTGGCCTTGTATTGTAGGTGTCGTGTAGGGACCAGTGGCTCAGCCTTCCCAGTCACCTGAGGTTGGAACTCTAGGTGTGCCTCTGTGTGGTCTGTGTGCACAGTTGTATAGTTGAGCCTCAATTGCTGTTGGCGTCACTGGAAGGGGTTGACCTCCAGGCCAGTTGGCTTTGAGGACTAGTTGCAACTACAGTGGGAGAGCTGCTGTGCAGGAAACACCCCTATGGAGCAGGACTTGCTTCAGTGGGGCTTTGGTGCTCATTGAGTCTGCCTCTTGAGTGTGTCACTTGGAGATATGTAGAGTTGTAATCTGCTATGATCTAAAGCTGTCCACTGAGTGCACTGGCTCTAGTGCCTCCAGGGAGGTGCAAAGTCAACCACTGCCTGGGGCCACCCTGCAGGAGCTATAGAAGGATCTGCACATGGCTGCTATTTTTCTATTTGTATTGGGCTTGGAAGTGCCTAGGCAAGCCCCAGCTGTGAAGCAAGGGAAGGTGGTGCTAGTGCTGGGTCTTGGGCCTTTTATTGATAGGTTTGTGGCATATTGTCACCAGCTGCAGCTTATTTGAGAGATTTTAGCAAAGTCTGAAACCTGAGCCAGGATAAGTCATTCATATGGAAAAGCTGCTGCAAATAGCTTGGATGGGGCTTCAAATTGGATGGGGTGGAGTCTTAAGGAATCCCCAGGGGATTTTTTTGCAGGGTGGAGCAAACAGTGTGCTCCAGGCTGATGGAGACTCAGCTATGGCTGCCAGTCAGCCCTGCAACAAGGGAGGTCCCAGCACAGGAATAATGACCCCTGTGAGCACCCCTGTGTGGGAGAAAGCCACCCCCGAGTTCCTGCCCTGATGCCAAACAATGTAGTTTCTCCCCATATGTGTCTGGGTTTCCAAAAGCCACCATTGCTGGAAGTCTGAGTAACTTTGTGCATCGGCCCTTTAAATGGAACACCTGGGTCTCCAACAGCCTCTTTGTCACTCAGCCACAATACCCACTCATTTTACAGCCCCTAGTTGCGGGAACTTCACTGGACCCTTGGGCTGGGGAGCTGGTGTGGAGCTGGGACCCCTTGCTCATCACGGGCAGCCTTCGCAGAGATGATCTCCCTCCCAGTTAATAAAATAGCACACATGGATGTCGGACCAGCCCAGTCCATGCCTCTGCCCCTCCTATCAGTCTCAATGTACTTATTTCTTTACTTCTCTAGTTGTAGTACTTCCATTCAGCCAGCTTTCAGGTGGTTCTGAATGATGGATTGTTCTGTATTTTAGTTGTAATTTTGATGTGGTTATGAGAGGCGTCAAGTACAGGCATTTACCCATGCCGCCATCTTGGTTCTCCCTAGGTTATATTGACAGGTACTTATTCATTGCCATTTTTTTTTCTTTTTACCTATATTCTTCTCTCTATTTCTTTTTCTTCTTAACTCCCTTTAACATTTTTTTCAATGCTGGATTGTTGGTAATGTACTCCTTTATTCTTCTTTGGGGGGGATCCTGGGAAGCTCTTTATTTGCCTTCAATTTTAAATGATAGCCTTGTTGGATAGAGTAGTCTTGATTGAATGCTTCATGTCAATCCCTTTGGCCTGAAGTGTTTCTGTTGAGAAATCACCTTACATTCTAGTGGGTACTCCCTGATAGGTAACTTTCTGTCTCTGTCTTGCTGCCTTTAAGATTCTTTCTTTGTCTTTAATGTTTATCATTTTGATTATGATGTGTCTTGGAGTGAGTCTCCTTGGGTTCATCTTGATTGGAACTCTCTGTGCTTCCTGAACTTGTGTGACTTTTTTGTTAACCAGGTTAGGAAAGTTTTCTGTCATTATTTCTTTAAATAGGTTCTCTGTTCCTTGCTCACTTTCTTCTCCTCCTGGTACCCCTGTGATGTGGATGTTGTTACCTTTTATGTTGTCCCAAAGTTCTCTTAAACTATCCTCCTGCTTTTTAATCGTTTTGCCTTTTTGCTGCTCTAATTGTGTATGTTTTTTCTACCTTGTCTTCTAAATCACTGATTCGATCTTCTGCCTCATTCAATCTACTTTTGATTCCTCCCAGTATATTCTCAATGTCAGATATGCTATTCTTCATATCTAACTGGTTTATATTCATGGTTTGTATTCCTTGTTTCATGTCTTGTAGTTCCCACTAAGTTCCTTGTAATTCTTACTAAGTTCCTTGAGCATCATTATAACCGTTACTTTGTACTCTATGTCTCATAAAGTACTTACCTCCATTTCATTTTGCTCTTTTTCTGTAGTTTTCTCCTGTTCTTTTCATTTGGGTTCTGTTTCTTTGTTTCCCCATTTTGGCTCTCTCATATTGTTTGTTTCTATGTATTATGTAGATCTGCTGTGATTCTCAGTCTTCGTGGAGTGGCCTTATTTAGTAGGTGTCCTTTGGGACTCAGTGGCACAGTCTCCTTGATACCCTGTGCTGCATGCTCTAGCAATGCCCTGGTGTGGGTTATGTGGGCCCTCCTATTGTAATTGGGTCTTGATTGCTGTTGGCCCATTCATGGGTGGGATCAACTCAGGCTGGCTGACCTTGAGGCTCAACTTGGACCATGTTATGCAAGCTGTTGGACAGGTGCAATCTTGATGTGGCTTCTGTGGTCCTTGATTAAGTTTCCTCTTCAGATAGTCTCTAGTTAGTAATTCAGGGTGAATGTTCCCCAATTTTGCATTAACTTCAAGTTTGGTTCTGGGAGGCGTTGTGAGCAAGATCCACCTACTTCGCCACCATCTTGAACCTCCTGCATATATCCTGTCCACAGATTATTTTAAAGCAATTCATTATTTCACCTCTAAATATTTATCTCTCTTATAGTTAAGGACCATTTTAAAAACATAATTTAATACCATTTTCATACTTTTAAAAACAACTGTAATAACCTAACTTCTTTCCTCAAAAGCCATTGCCCCTTGCTGTAGTAAGGCAGTACAACTCTTACAGATGAAGTGCTGGTTTACATAGCACCTAAGTACCTGTGTTGATGACTTGCGTTACCATTTGATGAACAGAGGGTGAAATACTTTCTGTGGTTGAAGACAGAAAACTTCACTGAATTTCTTATGTATTTGTTTCTTTGTGAGATTTCATAGTACAGCTTGAGTATGGAGTGATACTTACATAGTTACCTTGGGAGCTTTTGATACTATTGACAGTCTGTTTTATCTGGGAACATTACATTGAGAACCAGACACATTTATTTTCAGGTATCAGCTTCCTGTCTTGTTATATTTTTAAGTACCAAAAAATCCACTATGCTTTAGTTATTTTGGCCCTTCTAGGTGCTCATTATATTATCAGTCAGTTTGAGCTCTGTATTACCTTGTATTAATGTGCAGGTGTAGATGGGAATGTGCGTACATTTATCAATTATCTGTGGTTTTAAGTAATCTGTAGCTTATCATACTTTCACTAGAACTGACTATAGGGTAAATAAAATTGCACTTATGAAACTAAGATTTTTCTTGTTAGGAATGGCTATAACATAACTTGATCAGTCTTAGGGTTTTAGATTTCTTCACTGTTTTACCTATAGCAACTACAATTATCATTGACATAGTACCTTAGTAAATATATTTATGTATTTTATTGTTGACAGTATTATAGATGTCTCCTGTTTTCCTTAACCAATTTTAAAAACTTTAAAATTCTACTTTGATGGTCATAATTTTGTGAAGGTCTAATGTTAATGTCACCCTTATAAACAGCTTACTAACTTATCTAGTAGTTGTCAAAGTTCAGATCTGATGGCACTGAACCCTTTGAAATAAATTGACATAATTTAAAATTCTAACATCCATTTTCTAGCTTTTTACTCTGTATTTTACACTGCGCTTTGAGTGCTTATGCTTGGCAATGTTGTGTAGCTAGGTTGGTTAAAAAAGACCCAATTTACAACTTGTTACTGATTTTAGTATTCTGACCTTTGAAATGAAATTAGTAATAGCATGATTGAACATCTAGAATATCATTGATTAATTGCTACTGTAATAAGGAAGAGAAAAATCCATACCCCTAATAAGTTTATGCTTTCCTTATCCATACATTTCTACTGTCATTTGTCATTCCCAGGGCTGTTTATAAAAATAGAAATAGGTATATCAGAGTTCTTACTCCCCAACTTCATCTAAACTCTTAAGTTTCATGGAAGGTGGCCATGCTGTTGTTAACTTGACTTTTGTTAATTATTTTTAACACAGTTCTCAGTTTGTATTGATTTCTATTAGAAAAGTCTTTATTGTGAACAGAAAATAACTGTTAGTATAAAGTGAGCTTTTCTTCCCCTTTTTCTATTTTTTCTTTTACTGTGACAAGATAAAAATTTTGAGACATTCTAAATTAAAATCATAGTGACTGGAGAGTGAGAGAAAGAGACAGAGCAATTAGCCTGTTGATAGCTATTAATAGCTCTGGTGAAAGACTGCTTACATTCCTGTATACCTGTTAGAATTTAGGATTAATTTCCAGTGGCTATTTCTGAGATTATCCAAAAGAGAGAATAGCCAGACACCATAGAACCCCAGGGGCCTCCCCTGTTTATTTACACATGAACTTTCTAATCTACTGCCCACTGCTAATCTATAGGAGCAGACTTTTTTTCCCCACTCTGCTGCCTATCCCAGAACTAGCCCTGCTTCACCTCCTCCCACCCCCTTTGTCTGTTGCTAATGTAAATCCTTTCAGAAAGGCTTATATCCCCTTCCTTGCTCCCCCGCCCTCCTCCCCTTACTTGATGTATAAAAACACTTGCAAGCCCTAGCCGATTTGGCTCAATGGATAGAGCATCAGCCTGTGGACTGAGGGGTCCCGGGTTCGATTCCGGTCAAGGGCACATGCCCAGATTGCAGGCTTGATCTCCAGTAGGGGGCGTGCAAGAAACAGCCAATTAAAAAATAAATTTTAAAAATAAATTAAAAAAACTTGCAAAACTCCAGGACAATGGACATTCCTATCTTTCCTACGTAACCTTGCTGATAGTGGTTTAGACTCTATGCCCCAAGATTAGTCTCTTGGGTTTTTTTTTTTTGTTTTGGTTTGGTTTTTGTTTGTTTGGTTTTTTTTAGTAATGGCCTAATATACCTTTAAAAAAAAAAAAAAAAAGACTTTCAGGCCCTGGCCAGTGTGACTTAATTGGTAGGAATGTCATCCTGTTCACTAGGAGGTGGTGGGTTTGATCCCTGGTTGCCATGTGCAGGGTCACCGATTTGATGTTTCTCTCTCACATCGATGGTTTTTTTTCTCTCTCTCTCCCTTACTCTCTTTAAATCAATAAAAATTATAATAATAAAAAGACTTTAAGCCATGGAAGTTAAACATTTTTTGTTTAACAACTGTTTGAGCCAATTTTTTCTTTTCCAAACAAAATTCTGAATCTTAATCTTTTCTTTGCCAGTGTGCAAATCTCCAGGGAGTCAAGATGCTCTGTTCTAATGCAGAAGGTGCATCCCTGAAACTGTGTAATTTTGAAGATCCTTCTGGTATTAAAGCCAATTTAGAAGGTGAGATTCTGTCTATAATTACCTTTTCTACGGGGAAAACATACCATTAAGTAAAAAGCCCAGCAAAGTAATTGTTACAGGTAAATCATAACCATAGCTGGGTAGATTTCCTCTGTCACCGTGCTTGGAGAATTTGCACAGGAATCAGTCATATCTTGGTCTGAGTCGTAGGCTAACCAACATTGAGAACTCTGGGAGATCCATTCTCTGACATTTAATGAGGCCTCAGTCTCCTTAAACTTTCAAACAGAGCAGCATATTCTTATGCTGACCAAAAGTAAGAATTTCAGTTTGCACAAAGCCAGGCAGTTTTTGTCATTTTTAAATTTAATTTTTTGTTTATGAATTTCTTATTGCTCTCTTGTATCTGTGCACTGGTCACTTTGTTTACTTGTGTATTTAGAAAGCATAGTACTCTTCTCCCTTGTCAGAAACTTATGGAGGCATATTATAAAAGTGTTAATTATCCTAAGACCGAATTGAATTACTCCCTCAAAAATATAGACTAAAACATTCTTAAGTCATAGTATGAGCTAACACATCATTAACAGTGAACTCTATATATGTAAGTTGATTGAGGCACTGAGATTTATAGTTCAGAATCATTTTCAAAAGTTAGAGAGCCTTGTCATCATTCTTCTCCATTTAAGTCTTAAAGTGGTTTCATTGAAGGTGGGTGACTAGAAATATTTTCAAGTTCAACTAATCCCCAAATATGTTCACTCTAGGTGCTAATCTAAAAGGTGTGGATATGGAAGGAAGTCAAATGACAGGCATTAACCTGAGAGTCGCTACCTTAAAAAATGCAAAGTTGAAGAATTGTAACCTCAGAGGAGCAACTCTGGCAGGAACTGATTTAGAGGTGAGTCACCAATTTTTAAAGAGTTTCTGTAAGCATTGGCCAGGTTGCTCAGCTGCTTGGAGCTTCCTCCCATACACTAAAAGGTTGCATATTCCATTCCCAGTCAGGGCACATACCACATTCCTAGGTTGTAGGTTCGATTCCTATTCAGACACTTAAGGGAGGCAACCATCGATATTTCTCTCTCATGTTGATGTTTCTCTCTCTCTCTCTGTCTCCCCCTTCCTTTCTCTCTAAAAATCAGTAAGAATATCCTCAGGTGAGGATTGGGGGAAAAAAAGTTTTTGTTAATCTAAAATCACTGAGTACCTCATACAAAATTTATTGAAATCATAAAGTAGTTGCCTGGCCCTGGTGGGGTACCTCAGTTGGTTAGAGCATTCGATACACCAGGGTTGCAGGTTTGATTCCCAGGGCACATACAAGAATCAACCAATGAATGCATGAATAAGTGGAACAACAAATCTCTCTCTCTCTCTCTCCCCCTCTCTTTCTCCCTTTCTCCCCCTCCCCCTTCCTCTCTCTCTCTAACGTCAATCAATCAATGAAGTAATTGGCTGGTAAGAACTTTGGGGTAACAGCCAGAACAGCTGGAGGGATGTTTTCTTTCAAGTGCTTATTAAAACAAACCTGAATTCCAGAGCAGGATCAGTTCCTAAGTCAGAGATGCCAGTTTCAGATGGGAAGATTCATTTGACATTCTAAGTTCATTTCATTTCTCGCTTTTCCTTGAGTTTTTCTCATGTAGATAAGTTTGATGAGTGCTTTATTGACCTGATTTATCGTTTTTCTTGTTTCAATTCCAAAAAATTAAATGGGGCCAGATTATTCCTTGAACTACTTGAGAAATTTAAACGATATCCAGGTTTGAAATCAGGTTGGGGAAAGCCTATTCTAAATTGGCATCATATTCTTTTTAATTCTCAGCGTGAGATTTTATTTCAGCTTTCTCATGAGCACTGTTTTCTATATTTTGTCTTGATTTGCCAGTTTTGCCAGCTGGCTCAGTAGCTGTGGATAGGCCTGCCTTGGCGCTGTCCAGTAGCATTCCTGCAGTGCTGGGCATGCTCTGTGTCTGTTCAGTACAGTAGCCATCAGCCCACATGGCTGTTGAACACTGCAAATGTGGGTAGTGTAAGTGGGAAATGAATTTTTAAGTTTATTTAATTTCAATTCATTTCAATGTAAAGGGGCACATTTGGCTGCTGCCATCATATTAGACAGCACAGCCTTATACAAGAAAATCTGGCATAGATTGGATTGTAGAGAACAGTACATCAAAATTTGCTGTTGATTTTTTTTTAATGTTTTGCCTTGTTCTCTTAATACTAAGCAGCAGAATAGCAGATCCTATTAAACTTAAAGGCAAAAGTGCCAGCCTACAGCTGAAGATATAAATTAGTTAAGCACCATTACTTAATTTTTTATTATTTGTTACCATCACCTAAGATGATGACTTTTTTCCTTGATTTTAGATGCCATGTAGTCAATGGTTAAACAGCAAAAGCCTCCCTCTGTCCCAAGTGATTGTAAAGATTAAGGGTTGACTCCTGGGGGTCAGCAGCTGACATTCTGTCCTAAAAGGTGATGTGCCGTCACCCTTCTCTAACTATGGTCCCCACTGTCCCCAGGGACATATTCAGAATCTCTTGTCTCATCTGTCACACTATAATCGCAAGAGAAATTTAAAAGCAATTTGCAATGATGGTGGTAGTTACACTGTTGTATAGGTTTATTAAAACTAATTGAATTGTGCACATAATTTTGGGGTTAAAAAAAGGCAGTTCCTTGCTATAAAAATATTAGGGTTGAGGAATGGAATTTAATTATTAAGTAAAATCTGTTTCAGATTTTTCAAAATAGTGTCTCAATTCTCCCCCCACCCCCTTTCATTGTTGTTGTTCTTAGATTGTGGTAAAATTGTTTAGATAATATTTAGTACATTTGAATCCAATTTTAAATGATTTTAAATGACTGATAGTAAAATACATGATCACAAGGGACGTTTCCTTGTT